GACCAACCGGCCAAAAATAAATAATTCTCCTTACTTTATCGGTTATAGGCCCGGGTCCGCATAGGACAACGTCTGGGTCCAGACTCGGACCGCGGTCCACTTATTAGTGACCTCTGGTATAGAAAGATCACATACATGTTTTCAGAGGTGTAAGTAACGAATTACATTTACTCTCATTACTGTAATCAAACAACAGCAGCTCCGACAGGAAAAACACTACAGAAATGTCCAGTTTAGTGAAGAAGGACAGAGGAGAACTGATCCAGCGCACATGAGAAACAGACGGCGTCCAAATGGTCATCGGTATTCATTTTCACATGGACCAAAGAAAACGGCGTTATTATCAGCAGCCAAACACGAAACCTACTGAGATCTGCTTTCACAGCTCGACTCCAGCCTGAGGCACCATTAGCCGAGCTAGCTGATCCGAGCTCAACAGGTACCGTGTTTACAGGTTTCTTCTGTCTTTTATAATGATTCTGTTTATTAAATCTGTGTAATGAATCTGTGTATATTTTATTACAAGTCTCTGTCAGCTGCTTTAGTTAACAGGTGTCGCCCACAGCCCACAGTTCACCGTTTAAAATACAGCCTAATTTTGGAGATGGAAACGGTCATGAACAGCTGTGATAAAAGAAATATGTTTAATACAGGATCTTCATCAGCTCTGGACAGTGATTCAGTCGTGCTGCCGTTATTTAGGCTGATTGGCCTAAACTGATCCCTCCTCACCTTCCTGTTCTCTCTCTCTCTCTCTCTCTCTCTCTCTCTCTCTCTCTCTCTCTCTCTCTCTGTCTCTGTCTGTCTGTCTGTCTGTCTCTCTTCCGCTCTCTGGGCAGCAGGACTCTCACTAAAATTACATTATTAATTAAGCAATCTACTCGTAATTTTGACTCAGTTTTTTTCTCTTAAATGAAATTAAACAGTAACGACCTCTACACAGTCTTTCATGGATTCTAAAATACTTTATGGAAACAGATAAACTAGGACGTCTTATATAATCATCTAAGCATGAAATGCATGCAGTTGTAATGTAAGCCTTGTTCCTTGTTCACAGAAAGGTGTGTAGATGTGCACTAGCACAGCATACTGTGATCTCAGATGTGGTCTCAGCTCTCAGAACCTTTTTTCCCACATATTATCATATTTTTCTTTAGTGTTTTTCTGTACAGATTATTTCCAATGATGTAGCCGAGTCAGCTCAGAAATACGTTCAGGTTGTGACAGCGGAAATACGAAAAAGTAACTAAGTAACTCGGTACTTAAGTAGTTTTTTGCTGAACTACTCATTTACTCTTCCTTGAGTAATTTTATTTACTAATACTTTTACTTGTACTTGAGTAAGTTATCACTACAGTAACAGTACTTGTGCTAGAGTAGGGATTTTCAGTACTCTTTACACCCCTGCATGTTTTAAGCATTGTTTTGATGAGAGACAGATATAGTCACAAAATCATGAGCACTTGCCAACCAAACTTGCCATTACACAGCAATATTTGTAGAAACCTTGGAATATGCTTTGTATGTAGCTCCTCTACAGTAATGCTAACTTCTGCTAGCCTGGTAGTGAGTTTGCATTGTTGTGTTAGCATTAAGCTAACAGTGGTTAACATTGCATTTTATTACGGCTCTTGATATTTAGCAAGATATTTGAAGCTCAAAATACATTTAAGGAACATTTTTTCTGGTTCCATCAGTAAGGATTAAAAATCCACATTATTATTATTATTATTATTATTATTATTATTATTACTGATGACTCCTATTACCATACCTATAGTGATGACAAATTATGGTCCAATTAACTCATAAAAAAGCCTGTTACACAAAAGAGCTGGCTGAATCAGTCACTGAGAGAAAGGTGATGTTTTCCACATGTAACATTTCTTCACTGTTTTACTCTTTTGTTTCTTTAGGGACGTCTGTGTGTAAAATGGCAGCTGAGACGGTAAAAGTATGAAGGCTGGGTGAGTGGGAGTGGCTGTGCAGAGGGGCTGGACGTTTACCTTGATCTTACTGAACAGGAAACTCTTACAGCCTGTAGAATCACAAAGTAAATACACCAAAATAGCTGAGACTTCACATTTTAACAGTTGATACAATGACAAAAAAAAACAAACAAAAAAACATGAGTACAACTGAGGCGATTGTAAGGCCTCTTGCTATCTTAACTTATATATTAGCTATATTTTATATTAAGTAAACTGATGAATTTGCGTACAATTGTTAAGCCTCTGGGGTCAACGAACGCACCAGCATATCAAATTAGATGTTTCTCTGTGTTTCTAATAATATCTTTGTGATAATACTGCAAAGAAATGCGGTTCCTGAATCTGTAGAGTCTGCCTTTTCATCACATCACGAGATTGTATGTGACTCACATCCAGAGTTATTAGCCAATGGAGACATGTTGAGACACACGCCATCTGCCTCTCGGTGCGTCTAACTGGTAGATTCTTGTGTCCGTCATCTGCCTCTCGCCTGTAATTGGTGGATTTTTGTGTCTATATTTTGCATGTAAATGGACACTCAGGAAATCATTAAGGACTCATCATGTTTAAACACTTTATTTTTCATTCAGTGGCCTCAGACATGGATAAGAGTGGTGTGTAAAAAGTCCTTGGTCGCTGAAGTTGCTGCAGCAGTTTTGGAAATTATAGATGAGCAGAACACTTAACTACTATTTTATTCATACATTCCACTACTTTTCTGAGCCAAAAACTTTGAAAAACCCATTTCAAGCCCATAAACAATTCGTCCATAAGAGTAAAGCTATGTTTTCATAAGCGATATTGAGAATTTCTAAACCAGATTTCATTTTTTCAGTATTCTGGCCCAATTATCTCTTTAAACGGTGCTCCAGGTCAAAAGGGCCTCACTACAGAGAGAGCTGAGATTGTTCCGAACATTTTGATATGTGATATATGGGTATCATGTCGTATGAAAGTATCTTTAAATGCAAATTTAAGAACGTGCAAAAATCAAGAAAATGCCCTCAGATCCCAGAGAGTTCCCAGGGAGTTCATTCAAACAGTAACTTGTTCAAGAAGATTTACAGTCTTGTAGCTCTGTAGAAATGTGAAGTAAAAATACAGCATCTGCATCTCCAGTTAATCAGCATTATGAGTAACAACAACAATGTAAACATTTGTTCCGCTGATTCTTTTTACAACAGATCATTTTTTCAGCTCATTTTTTTATGGAGATGGTAGAAAGTGATCAAGATGACCACATGGCCACACGGTGAGCAGCTAGATCCCATTGTTTTGAAAGAAATGTGTCCCAAAGTCTGAAAATCAGTGTGTAACATTAAAAATGTTTACTACCAAAACACTTTTTCTGCAAATAAGTAAACTTTTTGTGTTTTAATGAAAAATATTATGAGTTTATGTGTACTACTGTTACAAGCAGTGTCTGTTAGTCATGTTCTGGCTAGTTATTGTCTTTGAGCTCAAAATTTGCTAAAATTGTCACTACCGAAACAGTCACTACTGAAACATTTGGTAAAGTTTCAGTAGTGTTATGACTCTTTCGTTGGTGACAGTGAGCATTTGGCAGTCGACTCAGAGACTGAAAGTATAGCTCTTAGAATACACAAGAAAAAAGAACAGACCAGGGCAAAACATGTATAGGGGTTTAGTCACTGCATCTGGCAATAAACAGTATCTCATCATAAACAAGCATAAAGTTGAACAGTGTAGGCTCTCTATACAGCGTTCTGCTGGAGCCGTTGTCGAGCTCTCCAACAAGGCACAATGACCACATCCCCTACTCCGCCCCCTCCACAGAGACAGCCAATGAGAGGTCATAAGCATACAAGCACCTAGAAAATTACTTTTATTTCACAAGAGGAGAAAATGACAAGGTAAAACACATCATATAAAGTCTAAATGAGTATACGATATCAAAATCACACAGCAATTCTGTGTCAGTGTGCACTAGAGTCAATATTTGCTCAGACAGGAAAGGGTTAAAAAGTCTGCCGCAGCCATTGTAGAGCTCTTTCCCACTGCACAATGGCCACACCAACTTCACCGCCCCTCCACTGAGACAGCCAGTAAGATCAAAATCAACACCCTGTAACGAGGCAGAATAACTCAGACGCTCGCGATTAAAAAGAGAGAATGAGGCTTGAATGATGATAGAGTCGTGATCCAAAAACATGGTCAAAGAACTGGCAAAGGTCGAATCCAACCAAGACAAAAGACACAAAAAGACAATCACAACCTAGCAAACAAAGTCCAAAGGGCAAAAGTCAAAATAACAAACAGAGTTAAAACCGGAAAAATCACAATAGTCAGAAGAAAACCGCTCAGTAGCTCTTGTAACAAGTAGCAATACCTCAAACTGAAATAGTCTAAAAGCCCAGGCTTTATACTAAGCTAATCATACTAGAACAGGTGTAACAAGTTAGTATTCAGGCGATAGAGAGCGGTGATTGGAATGAGATGTAGGGCTGAGAGTCGTGTGATCCCCCTGGGGACTCTGGGAAATGGGGTTTCTAAAGGCCTCTGAGCCCGAGGGATGTAAAGACACACCCAGAAAATGATCTTCTCTTCATGTTGAGTAAATGACAGGGTAGTTGCTTTATACCCTACTGTTGTCCTTCACAGATCACAGAGAAATATAATGAAGTGAATAAAACCAGTAAAATAAAACTAGTCAAGTATAACCTCTTTAAAAATACTGGTCTGCTGACCTGCAATGTTAGGGTTAATATCCTCCAGCAACATTGTTACCCACTAGACTTTCTAGATACGACTCATACCAAAATTTCAGCAGAGTCAGGTACCATGTTTGTGAACGATACAGACATGAAATATACAAAAGTCGTTAAAAGTAATAGTTAAAAGTAATAATGATTGAAAAATGTGTCCCCATATTTCAAGAGAAACATACTGTGGCATCCGCCACAGGCTTTTCAAGGGGAGCTCTTAGGGTGTGTCATGCAAAGTTAAGCTGAGTGTGGTTGAGTGAGTGTGTGAGTGAGTGTGGTTGTAGTGGTCACTGTGAGCGGATGTTGTATGGCTGTAGGTGACCTTCAAGCTATTTTCCCTGCAATTCAAAGACCTTGTGTGCTTTGTTCAATAAAAGAGCATTTTCCTTGAGCAGAAAAATGGCATGCTCTGGTGCTCATGTGTCAACGCTACAACATTATGAATATTCTTAGTGGGAAAGCTTTAATTAAAAGACTTGATGGCTTTTACATACTTTACACTGACATCCAGTGCTAATGAAAGTCAAACAAAATAAGTATTGTGTATTACTCAATTCAACTCATAATTAAACATAAACACAATACATTTTTCTTTTTTTATGCAAGAAACAAATGATTTTATTGAAAATATTCGCAAAAATTAAAAAAGGGGCACAATTTTGCAGTTGATGTACAAATGATCCACTACACATAGATTAAATGAGTCTTAATTATGCTACATTGGTCACATGTAGCTGTGCCTGACTGAAGAAGCTGTGACTCACAGCAATTATTTCTTTGCAGTTGGATCTTTTTAGTCTGCACCATTTCCCATCAGCTATATTCTACTCGTGAAAACAGGTCTTGACTTTCCTTCACTCTCTTAGCAAAACTAAGGACAGCATTGAAGATATCTGTGTGATCAGCCTGAGAGAAAACAAGAGTCATCAATATCAATTTTTTTAAATTTACAGATATATAGCTACAATTATAGCAATAACTGTACAGATTCTAGAAAAAATATGTTTTTATGTGAAATAATATAAACACAGATAATAGATATGATTACCTGATCAGTGTGGCCTGAACGGCCAGCGACAGCACCTTTAAAGAGAAATAATATGATTTAATTTTTGGTGAAATTAATGTAAATTAATTCTAAAAAGAAAAAAACTAACCATTTTTTTGACTCTTAAGTAGAACTCCAATCAGAGTCATGATCACAATAAGAGATATTACATTCAGTGTTATCGAGATGATGAAAATCCAACTGCTATTTTCTGAAATGACAGAAAATGTATACGCTAGATTAGAATCAGATGATAAACAAGAGTTTCTTCTAGTAAAGAGATGTGAAAATTCACCATGCAGAGAAATTTCATTACAGAACAGAAGTTCTATTTTATCAAAAGTCTCACCTTGTACAGTAACTTTAGTTAGATCTCCAAACAGTATCTGTCCACATGCAGCCATAGCACAGTAGTAAGTTCCAGCATCAGAGAGGCTGAGGTTTCTCTTGGGGAGTTTGTAGACACAGCTCTGTGTAGGAGAATCAGTCTCAGAGCTTCTCTTACACTCATCACTCCTGTTTCCATGAGTGTAAATGATTCCTGGATGAGATTCTCCTGATCCATGTCTGAACCAGTACACACTGTGTTCTCCTGAACAGTCTGGAGTAAGAGATTGTACTGAACACTGGAGAGTAACAGACTCTCCAGTCTTGATAACCATTTCAGTCACAGGACGGTGGATGTTCTCAGCTTTAAAATAAATTATTAAAAATAACAAACAGACAGAAATAATACTAACAAGAATGCGTAGTGTGAAACAGAAATCGACATAATATTTTGAAATGGAATTAAATAAATGGAATTAGACGTTACAGATATTACAGTAAAGTTAGAGAGAGCTGTTTACCTTGAAAAAGTAAAAGAGTCCCAGATCTAAACATTACAGCATTCTGCTTTACTTCTCCACAGAAATATAGTCCTGTATCCTCTTCCTTTATTCCATTAATATTGAGACCAAATGCTTCTTCATCCAGAGTTAAACGTCCATCGCTAAACCCTGGTGTAAATCTGGGTTTCCTTCCATCCTCAAATGATCTCACAACATACTCTGGCACTTTTCCTAAACTCTGTTTATACCAAGCTAAAAGATTTTTATGGTCTTTGTCTGTGGTCTGGTCACATTGTATGGTAACATTACTTCCACTCCTCACAGTTTGTACCTGAACCTCAGAGATGTCAGTGTTCACTGAAAAAAAGTGTGCAATACTTTCATTAACAGTAGATATATAACATTATAAATGCATTATAGCTTTATAACTATAGAAATATAGCATTAGAAAATGTCACTGACCTGTTGTAAGCAGGCAAAGAGCGATGATGAGTGTGATCATTGTTGCTGCTCAGACAATGAGACAGCGAAGTGATGAGGTCTGTTTAATTTCAGTGGAAAAACCCGTGTCATACCTGATTGGACATTTTGAAAGTGAGCGCAATTTTCATTGGTCTAATAGTTGTGAGGAAATACATAAACATCATCAAGCTCTTTCCACACAAAGCCACATGTCTATCTTACATCTTTACATCTTTACTATAGAGTGATTCTCACTAGAAATATATGTAGTTATAGAATAAGGTGGTATGTTAACAAAATGACAATAGTTGAAAACCTTTCATGCAGTGAAGAAGCGAAGGCTAGCAGGAAGTTGCTGTTCATTCTGATTGTGTAACAGGTTCAGCCTTTAAAGCTATACGCATGTCACACGCTTCTGTCAAGCCTTTTTGCATGGACATCTTTTATCTGAAACACTTGCTGACGTGTTTCACTGGTATTGACATGCACTGCAATGTGGTCAGTATTGCTTTACACCAGAGAGAGACTGTTAAATTGGTTTATCTTACTTCAAGGAAGTATATTTTTTTTCAGTTACATACATCTCCCAGTGCTCTTTGAAGGACAATTGAGTAGATTATAAAACATCACTACCTGATCAGGACTGTAATGGTTGAAACGTTGCTATGATAAATGAGGGAGCGTTGTTAAAACAGTGTGAGAACATTAATCTTTATTCTTCTATAAAACAAATAATACTTTAATTCAGTCTTTGCATGATGTGTTTTACTCTGTCATTTACTCAACTGTGAATAAAAGGTCAGTTTTTGGCTGGTCATTATATATGATAATGATCACTGTTCTGGTTGTCGGTCTCAGTGGAAGCGGTGGGGTAAAGGGTGCTGTTACTCTCCATGTAGGAGAGCTCAGCTTCCAGGCCTGTGGAGATAACCGTTTACCCTCATCTAAAGCTCTGAATTCAGTTCATGAAGGCCTTGCTAATTAGAGATAGGCTGAATCGGGCATGGTTAGTGAGGCAGTGGGCTGAAGTCTGCTGTGTTTTGGCCTTTGAGGACTGACGCCTGACACATGGTATAGAGCAGAGGTCTTTAATTAAAGTTCAATAAGGTCCAGTCAAAGAAAATTTCCTCAGCTAAAGGTCCGGAACATCATAATGTCTATGATTCAGTGCCATATACTGTATACCGAAGTAGTAGTTATATCAACATCTTATGTAGTCAACAACTGAATGTTGAATCAAATAAAGTACAATTCAGTAATATTTCAACACTATTTATTGTCAGTTTTCTCTTTTTAGAGCACACCATGTAAAATAATCTAGCTCACTTTCTTCTCCAACTGCTGTGTCTTGTTTCGTCCCTCCCCTGTGTGTGCGCCACTCACTCGAGTCTCAGTATTCATCGTAATGCACAGATCTGACTGGCTGAGTAGTGTCACGTGTGATTTTTACAACGCATGCGTTTGGTCTGCGAGTTTCCCGGGCCGCTAAAGCCGTACAGTAAATGTTAGAAAAGTTACACCGATTAAAATACGACCACCCGGCCAAAAATAAATAATTCTCCTTACTTTATCGGTTATAGGCCCGGGTCCGCATAGGACAACGTCTGGGTCCAGACTCGGACCGCGGTCCACTTATTAGTGACCTCTGGTATAGAAAGATCACATACATGTTTTCAGAGGTGTAAGTAACGAATTACATTTACTCTCGTTACTGTAATCAAACAACAGCAGCTCCGACAGGAAAAACACTACAGAAATGTCCAGTTTAGTGAAGAAGGACAGAGGAGAACTGATCCAGCGCACATGAGAAACAGACGGCGTCCAAATGGTCATCGGTATTCATTTTCACATGGACCAAAGAAAACGGCGTTATTATCAGCAGCCAAACACGAAACCTACTGAGATCTGCTTTCACAGCTGAGGCAGCATTAGCCGAGCTAGCTGATCCGAGCTCAACAGGTACCGTGTTTACAGGTTTCTTCTGTCTTTTATAATGATTCTGTTTATTAAATCTGTGTAATGAATCTGTGTATATTTTATTACAAGTCTCTGTCAGCTGCTTTAGTTAACAGGTGTCGCCCACGGCCCACAGTTCACCGTTTAAAATACAGCCTAATTTTGGAGATGGAAACAGTCATGAACAGCTGTGATAAAAGAAATATGTTTAATACAGGATCTTCATCAGCTCTGGACAGTGATTCAGTCGTGCTGCCGTTATTTAGGCTGATTGGCCTAAACTGATCCCTCCTCACCTTCCTGTTCTCTCTCTCTCTCTCTCTCTCTCTCTCTCTCTCTTTCTCTTTCTCTCTCTCTCTCTCTCTCTGTCTCTGTCTGTCTGTCTGTCTGTCTCTCTTCCGCTCTCTGGGCAGCAGGACTCTCACTAAAATTACATTATTAATTAAGCAATCTACTCGTAATTTTGACTCCGTTTTTTTCTCTTAAATGAAATTAAACAGTAACGACCTCTACACAGTCTTTCATGGATTCTAAAATACTTTATGGAAACAGATAAACTAGGACGTCTTATATAATCATCTAAGCATGAAAAGCATGCAGTTGTAATGTAAGCCTTGTTCCTTGTTCACAGAAAGGTGTGTAGATGTGCACTAGCACAGCATACTGTGATCTCAGATGTGGTCTCAGCTCTCAGAACTTTTTTCCCACATATTATCATATTTTTCTTTAGTGTTTTTCTGTACAGATTATTTCCAATGATGTAGCCGAGTCAGCTCAGAAATACGTTCAGGTTGTGACAGCGGAAATACGAAAAAGTAACTAAGTAACTCGGTACTTAAGTAGTTTTTTGCTGAACTACTCATTTACTCTTCCTTGAGTAATTTTATTTACTAATACTTTTACTTGTACTTGAGTAAGTTATCACTACAGTAACAGTACTTGTGCTAGAGTAGGGATTTTCAGTACTCTTTACACCCCTGCATGTTTTAAGCATTGTTTTGATGAGAGACAGATATAGTCACAAAATCATGAGCACTTGCCAACCAAACTTGCCATTACACAGCAATATTTGTAGAAACCTTGGAATATGCTTTGTATGTAGCTCCTCTACAGTAATGCTAACTTCTGCTAGCCTGGTAGTGAGTTTGCATTGTTGTGTTAGCATTAAGCTAACAGTGGTTAACATTGCATTTTATTACGGCTCTTGATATTTAGCAAGATATTTGAAGCTCAAAATACATTTAAGGAACATTTTTTCTGGTTCCATCAGTAAGGATTAAAAATCCACATTATTATTATTATTATTATTATTATTATTATTATTATTATTACTGATGACTCCTATTACCATACCTGTGTGCACAACCTACTACAGTGATGACAAATTATGGTCCAATTAACTCATAAAAAAGCCTGTTACACAAAAGAGCTGGCTGAATCAGTCACTGAGAGAAAGGTGATGTTTTCCACATGTAACATTTCTTCACTGTTTTACTCTTTTGTTTCTTTAGGGACGTCTGTGTGTAAAATGGCAGCTGAGACGGTAAAAGTATGAAGGCTGGGTGAGTGGGAGTGGCTGTGCAGAGGGGCTGGACGTTTACCTTGATCTTACTGAACAGGAAACTCTTACAGCCTGTAGAATCACAAAGTAAATACACCAAAATAGCTGAGACTTCACATTTTAACAGTTGATACAATGACAAAAAAAAACAAACAAAAAACATGAGTACAACTGAGGCGATTGTAAGGCCTCTTGCTATCTTAACTTATATATTAGCTATATTTTATATTAAGTAAACTGATGAATTTGCGTACAATTGTTAAGCCTCTGGGGTCAACGAACGCACCAGCATATCAAATTAGATGTTTCTCTGTGTTTCTAATAATATCTTTGTGATAATACTGCACAGAAATGCGGTTCCTGAATCTGTAGAGTCTGCCTTTTCATCACATCACGAGATTGTATGTGACTCACATCCAGAGTTATTAGCCAATGGAGACATGTTGAGACACACGCCATCTGCCTCTCGGTGCGTCTAACTGGTAGATTCTTGTGTCCGTCATCTGCCTCTCGCCTGTAATTGGTGGATTTTTGTGTCTATATTTTGCATGTAAATGGACACTCAGGAAATCATTAAGGACTCATCATGTTTAAACACTTTATTTTTCATTCAGTGGCCTCAGACATGGATAAGAGTGGTGTGTAAAAAGTCCTTGGTCGCTGAAGTTGCTGCAGCAGTTTTGGAAATTATAGATGAGCAGAACACTTAACTACTATTTTATTCATACATTCCACTACTTTTCTGAGCCAAAAACTTTGAAAAACCCATTTCAAGCCCATAAACAATTCGTCCATAAGAGTAAAGCTATGTTTTCATAAGCGATATTGAGAATTTCTAAACCAGATTTCATTTTTTCAGTATTCTGGCCCAATTATCTCTTTAAACGGTGCTCCAGGTCAAAAGGGCCTCACTACAGAGAGAGCTGAGATTGTTCCGGGCATTTTGATATGTGATATATGGGTATCATGTCGTATGAAAGTATCTTTAAATGCAAATTTAAGAACGTGCAAAAATCAAGAAAATGCCCTCAGATCCCAGAGAGTTCCCAGGGAGTTCATTCAAACAGTAACTTGTTCAAGAAGATTTACAGTCTTGTAGCTCTGTAGAAATGTGAAGTAAAAATACAGCATCTGCATCTCCAGTTAATCAGCATTATGAGTAACAACAACAATGTAAACATTTGTTCCGCTGATTCTTTTTACAACAGATCATTTTTTCAGCTCATTTTTTTATGGAGATGGTAGAAAGTGATCAAGATGACCACATGGCCACACGGTGAGCAGCTAGATCCCATTGTTTTGAAAGAAATGTGTCCCAAAGTCTGAAAATCAGTGTGTAACATTAAAAATGTTTACTACCAAAACACTTTTTCTGCAAATAAGTAAACTTTTTGTGTTTTAATGAAAAATATTATGAGTTTATGTGTACTACTGTTACAAGCAGTGTCTGTTAGTCATGTTCTGGCTAGTTATTGTCTTTGAGCTCAAAATTTGCTAAAATTGTCACTACCGAAACAGTCACTACTGAAACATTTGGTAAAGTTTCAGTAGTGTTATGACTCTTTCGTTGGTGACAGTGAGCATTTGGCAGTCGACTCAGAGACTGAAAGTATAGCTCTTAGAATACACAAGAAAAAAGAACAGACCAGGGCAAAACATGTATAGGGGTTTAGTCACTGCATCTGGCAATAAACAG